GAAAAAAAAAAAAAAAAACTTCCTGGTTGGAGATGATCCAAATGCGATGTTTATCGCTGTATAGGAAGGAATTGTAGAGAAGATAGGCTTCAGAATTTGGGCAAAAAGGTAAATTGTGTGAATCGAAAAGAAAAATAGAATTGGAATAAAAAAAATAGAAAAGTTGCCCAAATGCAAATGGGACGTGGAATGCGGCATAGCCATCCACACCATAACACGTGTCAGTTTGTTCGTCCATCAACTCCAATTGAATACTCAATTAGTTGGGACTTACTTTTCTTCAACCCTAGCCCTGAATCAGACTTTGATGATTTAATTGGGTTTCGATTCGAATTCATAACGAAAAGGGAAAGAGTGATAGATATGAAGTTGGAGGAGGCCATGAGCTTGCTCGGTTTGCCTCCTCATGCTATTCCCTCTCCTTCTCAGGTCAAAAAAGTTTCTTCTTTCACTTTGTCAGGTAGAACAAGAAAGAGTCTTAAATTCCTCATCATTTTAAGTTAAAATAAATTTATTAGGTGAAAGCTGCGTACAAAAGGAAGGCTTGGGAAACTCATCCCGATCGATTTCCAGCTCATGAGAAAGCACAGGCTGAGTGCAGATTCAAATTGGTAACCAAGCCTTAGCGTTGTTGGGGATTTATCGCTCGTTTGTTGTTGTTATTTGTCATGTTAATTTATGTCTGGGTGATCAGTGCAGATCTCAGAAGCCTACACTTCCTTGGGCTCTGGTAATAAAATGACTAATCATATCTTTCTTGGCATTTTACAGTTTTATTGAATAATAATAATAATCCACTAAAAGTGGTTGATTTTCTGACAGCTCATTGTTTGAGAACTGTGTTAATCTAAATAATAAAATGAGCATGCTTTTGTGATGATGGAGTGAGGGTTGGTGAGTCAATTTCTTTGTATTTCCAGCAACTTTATATTTGTGTAACAGGGGGAAGCAGAAGAAGAAGCCCAGGACCTGTTCCAACAGGTGGTTTGGCTTCGGCATTCTACTTTCTCCATTCACTTAGTTAGGGGGTTGTGTTTTATGTATCGTGCAATGATAGTCAATCTTATAACAGCATCATATTCGTGGGTCGTGAGAACTAGAGTCAGAAAAGGAGCAGGCGCGGGACAGAGAAATACGAGAGTTGCTTCACTTCCTTTCTTTCTCATCATTTTGGGTGCACTTACACTTGGTGGATCAACTGCTTTCAGGTGCCGTCGGATTTTTTATATTTTATTTTTCTCCGATGACTGAAATATCAGACTAATACAGTATGTACTTGTGCATGTTGTTTGCTGCATCTCAGGGCTTACCAAAGACAGAAGGATGACCAAACTTCTTATAATCCTTTTCTCCCTTGAGGCCACCAGACAGTGTTAAATGAGTTGAAATGTGAATTCCAAGTTAGCCTTGGATTTGAATTTGTCTAGGCTACCCCAAGTATTAGTATATTGGGTTTCGGTTGTATCAAGATCAGGTCGACCTACTCTGAATTCCCAATCAAGGTTGCATTTGGTTTGGAGTATGTTGAAAAATGGTTTCTGATGATTTGAAATTCATTATATAATCACTTATGTCTATTGCAAATGACTTCAACGGATTTGTCCGAGGAGTTTGAGTTCGAGGTATCCTGATTCCTGAGTTTTTGAATTCATAAACCCAAATGAAACCTCTGTGTCTTCAAATCATATAAATAAGCAGATGAAGTTGTCATGCGTAGAAAACTGCGGCAAAAGTAGTAGGATAAACAGACAAGCAACTCAAATCCTCCACAGTTAAATAATGCTGATCAACAATCGAGCCACAGAGAGAGAGGGAGAGAGAGAACTTCAGAACAAAATAAACTGACAATCAAATGGAAAACTATATAGAACCTTTGCCATCAACTTAATCATTCTCTGTTTACAGATTAATCTGCAAGATACAATCAACTCAATTTTCAAAGAATAAGAGGGGCCCCTCCATAACGCAAAAACACAATCAGTTCCATACACCCTCTTATTGTTGGGAATGAGCAAGCTACAAAGTGCGTATGATCCTACCACAAATGAGATTCCCAAGATGTATCTTCTGAAAAACATGGACTTGGATATGTCCTCAAAAATAACCAAGTTCGTGGAATCGCTGACCACTGATTGCCTATCAAAACAATGCACATTGCAATTTGTGTTCATGAGATTACTGTTTGGTCACAACAGTGCACATTGCAATTTGTGTTCATGAGATTGCTGTTTGGTCACAACGGACAAAGAGAAAGAAACAAAATAAACCATAAGAAGTTCTAGAAAGCTGCTTCGGAATAAGATCAGGCTTAAAGATCCTACTCAGCCACCCACAGCATAGCCAAAATTTTCAAAAGCTCGAGCCAAGAATAAGGGGGAAAACCAACCAACTTGGCCCAATGTATGTCACTATGTTTCCATTTTATCCAACTAAAGGGAAAGTATCAAGATTTTATTCAGTTTCTTTCTGGAAGGTCGATGGTAATAGGTTGCCACCCCAGGTTCCCAATCTTGATCCATTTCTTCACGGTTATAATCAAGTTCAAGACTCGAAACACCTCCCCCAAAGGCAGTGCTTTCAAACATGAATTTTTAAGAATCAGAGCTGCTTGATACCTACAACCAAATCAAAAAATATTACAACAGAGTTTCAACCACAACTCTAATAAACATTTCAATGTTATTACTCCCATTTGAATTTTTCAATGACAATTTTAACAAAAATATTTCATTTGTTGGAATCATGCAGAATAGACCCGACATAGGCCCCCATCCCAAAACATATAGTATAAGGTATCGAACAAAAATTGTGGGAACATTTTTCATAATTTTAATCATGCCCTCTATTTACAAAATAAAATTAAAAGAAAGTAAGATGCTTAATGAATTAATTTACAACTCAACCAATAACAATTTAATTCAGCTCATAACTATATTAAAGTTATAACATAAACGTAGTATCATAACTAAAAGAAATATGATAAATCTCAAAATTTAGAATTTCACTTTCTAATTCTATTATTTTAATCTTTATAATAGTTTTTACTCTCTATTTTGCAACATATTTTTTTTTCTTCAACTTCAAAATATATTTTATTATGTCTTTTTTAACTGTATGTGGAATTCTAATTATATATTAATAATTTATAAATTCATCGATTATATTCTCGAGTGAACTATACTATAACATAAATTTTTTTTTCATAAAATTTTAAAAATTATATATTATTTTTGATGATTTTCTTACGTTAAATTTAAAAAAAAAAAATGATGTTTTTTTAAAAAATATTTTTTTAACTCATTGTGACGGTATTGATGTGTTAAAGAAGTATTACAAATGAGAAAGATGACAAATTATGAAAAGTATAATTTATAAATTGCAATGACATTATATTATTTTGACGGTATATATTTTATTTATTAACTAAATAGTGCCCCCAATATAAAATTATTTTGGATTTGCCGCTACAATTAGCTTTCCAATGTAACTTCTATTGATTTTTTTACAATTCTAATGATAGTATGTGGTCGAAAAAAATTTCAACACAAATTCACACAACAATAAATAATGGTAGTTGGAATCATTAAATCCACTAAATTCAATATAATTTAATTTGATCTTTATTGGAACAACCAATAAAATTTTTCAATAGAAGCTATACCAATGAAATATCCGTTGAAATTTTCAATGGAATACCTTGCCGTTGGATTTTTCATTGCAATATGGCAATTTATTGTATTCCTTCTCAGACATCAAACATTTTATGTAGTAGTTATTGTTATTAATTAATTTTGTTTACAATTTTCTTATTAAAAATATTAAGCACATCAACTTTTGAGTCCATATAATTTTTTTAAAAATCACACATTAGTTCATCTAGAGATTACCAATTAATTTCCATTGAGTTACATTTCTTACATATTGAATATTAAATAATAAAAATAGTTATTATTAATATGTTATATTAAAAAAACTAATAGCAAATAATTTTTTTTTTAAATTACAATAATCAATTTTTATTTTTTTATTTGAAAGTTCTACACTACATGGATAAAAGTACAAATAACTATTGTCTATCACCTAAAACATACACATATAAGTCATAAGTACATAGATTAACAAGCGTTTAACAACTCAGCTCGTTTACATCGATAAGTATAAGTTTTAAAAGTTCATTTATTTTTATTAATTATAACATTTTTATTTATTACTTTTTCGTATTTATAGTAAGTGTTACAACATAATTATATTTTTAATATTATTTATCATATTATTTCTTTTTACTTTATATTGCTCCTGTATATGTTTTTAATATATATTTATATATACACTTTTAGATTTGTTAATTATAAAAATAATACAATTAAGTATGACACTTTTTAGGTCGTATGTTTTATTATATACAATTAATTGTACATCTTGATATTATATTATATATAATTACAAGTTTCTCATTATTATTATACTCAAATATATAAATTTTTTATTTCGTTCATTGTTTTTTAATAAAAACATTCATTATAATACACAAATTAAAAGATAGATGAGTAATGATAATATATCAATATAATTTATTGATAAAATTAATTAATTTTCAACGTATATATACATATCATGATTATCGAGATATTCTTAGTTTTTGTAAGATAATCATATGATCAAAATTAAATCAAGTCGTTAAAGTGTTATTGTTTTATCCCATTTTTGTTGCGTTTTTCATTGTTATTTTGCCATTTTCTTCCCCCATTTTAGGTCGTTTATTTGGTTTTTAGTTATTTTTGTAGTTTATTGCGTACTTTCCTTTATTTCGAGTTTTTTTGTGTATTTCGTTTGTTTCCCGATTTTCTTTGTTTTTCTTTTCGTTTTTTATGTGCAGGTCGAAAGCTTCAAATATAATTTCAAGGAAAAGTTGGTCGTGCAAGCATAATTAACTAGAATGGTTCGTTCGCCGTGCAAGCATAATTAACTAGAAGGGTTCGTTAGCGACAAGTAGGAAAAAGCGGAACTTAATTCCGAGTTCGGACGAGCTCAAACGAGCCTGAGACGCAAAGTCGCTCAAGCAGGCCACTAGCTCGCCCAAGCCTCCCATGCACTCCCGCAGCACGCCCGCGCGCGTGCCAGCTTGCAATCAGGCGCCCGGCCTACCGCTGCTTCCCCAATGCCACGACCCCAGAAGCTCCCAACGTTAGCGCCGCTACGCGCGTCCAACGTGAGCCCTTTACATTGGGATGTGTTTCCAGACTTGAAGGACAACCCCCAAATTCGTTTTTTTTTTTTCAGATTTGAACCCTAGAATACCATTTTTCATCTTGGTCTTTTGGCTTGATATTCTTCTTTAATCTTTTGGATTAAACTTGTTCTTCGGATTCAACATTCGATTTTTCTATTAATTGTAAGTTATTCTTTCATCTAATCCATGAATATGAATGCTTAGGTTGTTGCGAATGTTCTTTTTGAATTTGATATGAGTAGTTAATTCGATTCGCTAGGGATAGGGGATGATGTTTTGAATTTGTTTGTGATTATCGTGCTTGTTGATCATTCAATTTATGCAAGTTGGTTTTAAAAAGGGTTTTTGATTATCATTCTTGATTGTTGAACATTGTTGATGAGGGACACCTCAACTTCCAATTGGGGAAGATTCATTCGGGTTTGATATTGTAAGTTCATAAAGATTAGTCGGTTAACCACCTTCTAGTCTAATTTAATCGACTCTTAGAACCGAAAGGGGAGGAGTTGATCGATTTAGACTCGTATAAAACAGGCTTGTTAGTAACTGTAATGTCTATGTGTTAAACGACTCGTTGATTTGCCGTTCATGTTTATTCTTTTGTTACGGAAAGTTATTGAGGATGAATCTCTAAACGAGTAGGTTATTCGAATCCTTTAACCGAATGATCACTTACCCGTTAATTGTATCTCGAACCAAAACAAATATCCCCGACTCCCTAACTTCTTTATCATTGTTGATTCATCGTCTTTGCTTTGAATTTAAGTTCGCGTTGTTTGAGATTTCTTAGTTGATAATTGAAACATAATCAATCTTCTGAATTAGAGTGTTTAGGAATTTAATTTCTTCTTTTTATGATTAAATAATCGTGCATTTATAATCCAACTAACCTTCCTCGAGAGATCGATCCGAAGAATGAGTCATTCGATTCGGTACTCGGTAAATAACATAATTTGCTACAACAAGTATCCCATTAGACATACCAAAACAAAAGGATTGGCTTCTAGTATGTACAATTTCATAAAATTGTTGTAATCTTATTTTAACAAAAAAATTAAGTAGATTAGAAGTTTAGATTGCAAAACAATCATTCAACAATCAATTCACTCTTACTCGAGTCCGACTTTCGAGAGGTTTTTATAGGTTATTTTGAAAAATAATATTCTGTACTTTGTGGTCATTATGAGACAGACAATATGGATTTCAATTTTTTTTACTTATAGTTATTAATAAATATATAAAATGAAATAAATATTATTGAAATAATAATAATATTTGATAGGATACTTACAATCAAATAAACTCTCAAATTTTATTGAAAAAATCATAAAAGCATTTAAGAGTTTAAGATAATGTCAATAAATAAAATATTTAATATATAAAATTCAAATTCTCATTGTTTATTTAGAACCTATCTTAAAAAACAATGACTCAAATAAAGTAATTATAATTAAAATATCGTAATATATTTTAGTTAATAATTGAATGAAAAAGTTTAAATATTTTAACCACCTAATGGTCAGTTGATGATTCGTCAAATGATGATTTTGTGAGATCAAAATTAAATCCAATAAGACTAAAGTGTAATTTCTATTCTAATTCTAAATACAAGATTTTAATGAAGTAGTTAAACGAATTATTCAATTTTCTAATTTGTTAGTTTATGTATATATATTTCACGAGTGCATGATTCAGTAAAATTATAAGTATTTTCTCTTAATTAAAGTTAAACATGTATCTTTGAAATTATTTATTGTATACAAGTTACCCCTCAACTAAGTTGTCATTTTTTACCAAGATTTATCATTTTGTTAAAATTGTAAATAGATAAATAATAGTTGAAAATATTTGGATTCTTTATTAGTATTTTTTATGTATTTTTGTTGGATAAGTTTTCTTTAAAGAACTTTTAATATTAAAATTATGAAATGTGAGTAGTGTTTTACCATTAATTAGAATTATATTAAAAAGAAAGACGTTTTTTAAAACGACAATTATATATCCTTTCAAAGCATAGTTGTTTGGGTTGATTTTTGGGAGATATGGAAGAAAACAATTGGGAGATATGTGGAATAAAGTGCATACGTGAGGAATAATGGTTTCAAGAATATTATGGTTGAATTTTTAGGAGATGCGGAATGTTTTGTTCGCGTATTTGTATTTAGTTAACTAAATATTAGTTATTAATTAAAAATATAAGATAGAAATAGGATGAGTATTAGTGTATTACTAATTTGCCATTAAAAATGTCAAAAATAAAGATCTTTTAGGTAGTTCATTTTTTTATAAAAACCACTTGTCCGTTTAAAGTAGTATGGAAAACAAAAGGTTAACAGCCAGTCAATCTAATTCAGGAAGCTAGTAATTACCTGCATTCAGATGCTAATAACGTTGAACGCCCAGCCGAGGAAGTCAGAAACTTGTGAATTGTATTCCAGGTCTCTTTCGGGTACTTCTCAACATTACCCCCAACAGGATTCTCACATGACCATAGCCTCTCAATCCTACCAACATAAAGCTCCATGTTACCTAGTTGGTGCTTGACTATCATTTGTTGGTCAAGGGCGCATTCTAAAGCTTTTCTCACATCAATATTGCGGTACTTTGGATCACCAAAACGGATACATTCAGTTATATTTGCTTCGGTAGGTGCAATCTTCTCAACTTTCAGAGTATTCAAGGCTAGAAATATTACACCTATAAGGCCTTGGACGTGTTGAGAATGAAGATGCTTACCATACACTTTGCCACCGGAATATAACTGGCTCATGGACTTTCCAGCACCATCTGACAATGAAGTATCCTTTGCTATAGAACCTTCTCCTCCCTGATGATTAAAATCCGGGCCACCATTCTGGGACCCACTTACCTTGCCAATATCTGGCAGTCCTACAGATGATCTTTCAGATCTTGATTTAAGTGATGACTCATCACGAGAAATCGAATCATCTGGTTGATGGGAATGAGTCATCTGACTGCTAGAACAGGTGGTAGCATCCATACTCCCAGGCAAAGGAAATGGATTCGAAATAGAAGTACTTGAAGCAGCTGCATTAGAGGAGGTTGCATTTGGACCAAAATATTCGTGAGGTACTTTCATAAACTGTTTTGCAGGTGGATGGGAGCACTGCACATTTTTATTTTCTTCTCCTTCATGTTTATCAGCCGAACTTCTCATACTTTCCGTTTTGATTTTATTTACGCCTATTGGAACATATAAGAATTTGCTAGTGCTCAAAGTGGATGACTTCTGGCCAACCATAGCCACGGGGAGAGTACTACCAGCAGAGGTTGTTGAAGCAGGTTGATTTGGAACAGCATTATCACAGGCTGCAGTATCTGTTTGAGAAGCATCAATACCAATCTGATCTTGACCGTTACTCATGTAAGGAGGCCCTCCATAAACGAGGCTTGACCATTGCCAGACACACTTTGCTGCAGCAACAAGAGCTGCAGAAGCTTTAAAGGGTTGTGCTAGAAGGATATTATATCTCCGCATGCGCAATTGATGGAGAGCATTTGAAAAATCCCTGTCACCAGAGATCAGCAAATAATTTGCAGGAGCAGGATTGTCGACTGCCCAAAACAGCATATCAACTAATATTTTCTTGTCACTTGCATCTTTAACTCCTGTTGTAAGCAAATGGTCAAGAAGAAAACTATCAAGAATGAAGGAACTTTATAATTTCTAACTAGAATATATGCAAACACTGGTTTCCTATAAATGAACATGACTGAACTTCATTATTGCTACTTTCAGCATGATCAGAGTATTTGAGTGACCTCACCGAGAAGAGTGGAAACCCCTAAAATCTGTATTCAATCATTTCGGGGTGAAATTGAACCAAATAAACCCCCCATGGAATCAAACAAAAGGTCAACAAAAGAACAAACGCTTCAATCATATATCCTCTCCCATAGCCATCTAGGAATAATAATTAGACAAAAACACAAACGAATTCCAACTACCCACATCCACATAAATCAATTCTGGGACATAATAACACAAACAACGAGAGCAGACAGACGTTGGAAAATGAAAAATGCATACAAAACCACCCTTATTTACTAGGGCTCTTTTCACAAACATAATAATGGCATAGTTCAAGGGGCACAGCATTTTGTAATAGAAGGAGAGAGATGTACAAACCGGCTGGGACGTGGTTTAGAGCGATGCCGGTGCTGGAGAGGGCGTGTTGGACGGTGGTCGGGATGCGATTGGTGTCTCCATAGGCGGAGATGGTGATGGCCCCAAAGTAGTTCATTCTGGCGAGGGCGGAGCGTATGTTCTGAGCAATGGCGTGAGGTTTGCAGCCCCTGGGGACCTGGCAGTTCTCGATGTCCCACCAAACCGACGTCTTAGCGACGCCATACTGCGGCTCAACCCCACTGGCGCCTGCCGCCATCACTCACTCATCGTCTCTTTCGATTTGAGTTAATATGAAAATGAAACCCGCCGGCTCCTCTCTCCTCTGTGCTCAAGAGACGAAACGTATTTATATATTTGAGTCGAGAGAGGGAAACCAAAGATGGATAGAGACGCGAGTCACGCGACTGAGCATAATCACAATTTTTAGCCAAATTCAAATATAGCATCTTAAATTTTCAGTAAGGTTGTTTGGGCCTAATTATTAAACCACCACGCCATATGTTTGTTTAAGGTGCGTCTCATCTATCATGGATCAGGGTTATTTACTCGTTAAAATTCATTTAAAAAAATTGTGTAAGTGAACAATTGTTAAATCTAGATTTTTGTATGAGCAGTTAAATTCAACTTTGTATATGAATAATTGTTGAATCTAAATTTATGTACTGAGCAGTAAAATTCAACTTTAAAATCACGAATCCAATTTGAATGAACTTGAATTGGATTGGGGTTTAAAAATGTTATTAATGAAGAACTTACAATTCAATTCAATAAACTTTTTTAAGTGTAAAGCTTAAAAAAAAAAATCATCTGAAGAAAATGTTTACTTCAAATCATCATTTTCTTTCGGTCTCAGAAGTGGGTTTAAGACGAACATGTGAAGATCCTTTTAAGTGTACCTCATCAGTAATAATTAATAAGCCACCACATTTTCACTGAAAAGTTCAAATCATGATATACACGTAGCAAAGAAACAGTCACGAAGATACTTCAAAACTAGCCAAGGTACCATAGGCCAGTTCCAATGAAAACTCAAGAGGCAACACAGCCTCTCAGGCTCTCAGCCCTCCACTCTCATTTCCATAGTCGATAATCAGCAAAACAATGAAAATGCCCCGTGGCCTCAATGATGAGGGTCTCCCTTTATTAATATAGTACATCATATAAACAAGGAGAACGACGGGAATTCTAACCAATTACAAAAGTTACCCAGCCAATCGCTTCCTTCTTTTTGCTGACATGCAATTATATATATATATATATATATATATATGTGTGTGTGTGTGTGTGTGTGTGTGTGTGTGTGTGTGTGAGGAGTTGAAGATTCTCATGGCAACTAACTCTTGAGAAATAACAGTGCTTTGACTCGACCTCTCACATTCACCCACTTTCACCAGATGGTCCTGGTCGAGTATTTAAAAGAGGCTGGAGTCCTTTGACCACAATGCTCATGTTTGGCCGGAAATCAGCTTCATAATGTACACACAGTGCGGCAACAGCAGCCATCTAGTTCAAGTATTGTCATAAAACATCAATTAGATTGGAAGGTACAGTCTTATTTCCAATAAATTTGCAACAGAAAATCCACAAGACATATTCCTAGCCGTAAGTGTTAAATTTCACCAGATGACAATCAGCAACCTCTTGTAATTTGGAAAAAACAAGAAAAAATAATTAACTTAGCAACAGCCTTAGGCGGATACTCACCCCCAAGTCTACCATCGATGCATTGTCGGACCTTGTCTTCACTCAGTTTTGGTGTAACCTGAAAAAAATAGAGTGCGCAGTTATTTATGTAAGTAAATAAATGAAAAAATAAAAGGTAAAATAAAGGAAAATAAAGGAGAAGCAATAACTTTCACGTACCCATAAACTCTGTTGTCCACGATGTAATGTGTGATCTACATGTTTGCGCCCAGTGAGAAGTTCTAGAAGAACAACACCAAAGCTGTATACATCACTTTTCGAGTTGAGCTGTTCCGTCATTGCGTACCTGTCGAGTCATTGAAATGGTTTTAGAGGAAAAAGGATGACCATTTATAGAACTCGAATAAGATGTGGTTTCCTTACAAAAATAATTGTAAAGTTAGAAAAGAGAAAAAAAATATAAATTGTCTCCCACTCCTGTTGGCAGTCTCTCCCGGAAAAGATATTGTTGTACACATACATAGGGCCATTTTCTATATGCCAATAGGGTGAACATCTAAATATGAGGAGGCCAGAATTTCTGCAAGTCAAACCAAAGGCAACTTACTCTGGAGCATGATAAAGCAAAAAATTTTGGGATAGGCTTTATTCTTTTTATCTTAATTGATATATGATACTTCAATTAAATATTTTGAACATTTCTTTCGGCTTATGTGGTAGCGACTGCATCATATCAAAGAGCAACGCTTGGGTACAAAGTATAAGTTGATAAATAATTAAAAGGGTTTAGCAATAATAATGTTGACATAAATTCATATGTAAACTACAGAATTACAGGGCAATTCTGGAACTGTAACCAGTTCGTATGGGTGGACGACACAAATCCAATTACCATTGACAGAACAGAATCATATGTGGGATAACGATAACAAACTCACTAGATTGAAAAATGCTACAATCATTAAATATAAGAAGCGTGGAAGCACTCTTACTATGTAATCATGATATGTCGAAGAGAAAACAACTTATGGAATAAATAATGTATTTATTCAACGAAAGGGGCTTACACTCACGGAATAGAAGAAAATTGAAAGCATTCTTACTATGCAATCATGATGTCCAAGAGAAAACAACTCTGTTGTAAGAAATGATATCACATACCATGAAGGACGTCGTGAAGAGATCCATTAGATGCAAAATCATACGCAAAAACACGTTGATTTCCATCAACACAATAACCAAGTAGTTCCACAAAATTTTCGTGTTTTAGCCTTGCAACCATAGACACCTGCAGAAACCAAAGTACGATTATTTCAACGCCGAGGTATGAATTCCTTGAATTAGATTTATGTAACATCTTCAAGAGAAACCTGAGCTAAAAATTCATCATCTGGTTGTTTGCTAAGGTTTCCATAATACACTCTTCCATATGATCCTTCCCCTAAAAGTGACTCAGTGCTAAAGTTACTGGTAACTTCCTTCAGTTCAACCACCGAAATAGAAAGGACTGCAATTGGCTGTATTTTTACAGCTGGGGATTTAGTTGCAGCTTCTGTCGAATGATAGCCTCCATCATTTCCTAAGAGAGAAAAATATAGGTGTTTATACTGATGATCCTCATGTCCACAATGAAAAAAGTGAACTATATTCTACAAAATAGAGATGTATAGAAAAAGAAAATAACAAAAGAAAAGGAGCGGCAACATCAGAAAGATTCAATAACGTCAATAGTGTCGTTGATTAAACTGAGTAAGCTCTCTCTAGCAAAAAAGTGTCGTAAGCATACAATGACAAAGGAGTCTGGTTAAGTCGACACGTGCTGTAATACTGAACTGCAGGCTAGAATATAAACCAAATGTTCTTTCAAGGAGTTCGCAAAGCAAGCGAACACCGTTCTAACTTCTAAATACTCCAGATATGACATAATTAATGCAAGCACAAAGATAAGATACCACAGTCTTGAAGTGTAAAACATGGTACTGAAATCTTGTAAAGAATTTGGACAAAATGTACATGACTGTATAAACAATGGCTTCTAATAAACACGGGTCGGGGATGACTGATGAGCGTCAAACCCCCACCCTTATGGAAGTTTATTCGAGGAAAAAAAGAAAAAGGAAAAAAGCAACCAAAAAATATCATCCTATCTCCATTAGAATTGAAATTACCAGAAGCTTTTTTCACTGGGTATGCCCTCCACCATCAGCATTTTTACTGGTGTCATATTCTTCACAACAGCCAAAACAACTCATTCTTTCCACCAAATGAACTTTTCAAATGTCCTTTTCAATCACCTGGGCAACAAAAAACCTATAATGTATTTTTCAAAACCTGAAAGAATAATTGTCAAGGAAAACTATATTTATAAAAGTGATAAACTACACAGAAATACTATTGGAAGGTCATTGTAAGTATCATATTTTGAAAAACAACATTATGCGGTAAGCCTACATATCTAGTCACGTTCCTGAGTTAAACACTGTGATTATAAATAGATACTTTCAGAACATGGGCCGGGAAAGAGGCAACATTCTCAGTAACACGAAAGAAGTATGGCGATCAACTATATATTACATCAGAAGACAAAAGAAGACAAAAGCAAAAAAGAAAGAGAAAAACAACATTTTGTGTTTTTCTCTTTGCTTTTGCTTTTGCTTTTGTACATATTTTGTGTTTCTCTTTAAAGGAAAAGAAGACAAAAGCAAAAGTAAAGAGAAAAACAAATATGCACAAAAGAAAGAACAAAAATATGAAAAACACAAAATAAAGAGAAACACAAAAAATAAAATCAAACACCAAAATCAAATATCCTATTTGCCTTCCCCGGCAACGACGCCAAATTTGTTGTAGTAAATTTTTTTAATTTTTTACCGAGTACCGAATCGAAAGATTCGTTCCCGGGTCAATCTCACGAGGAAGGCAGTTCGGAATTCAACTTTGGTATCGATCACACACAAAACGAAAATAAATTCTAAACACTCTAATCAAATAAGGGGGTTGGAGTTATTATCAACTAAGAAATAATAAAAAGCATGAATCTACTTAAAAATATAAATGAAACGGTGAAAAAGAAGCTAGGGAGTCGGGGATGATTAAATCAAGTTCCTTTAGCAAAACCGGGCAATTTATTATTCGGTTCGAGATTGACACTATCGCTTAAACATCTAGCGGTTCGCTCTCAATAACTCTTCGTAATAAGGGATTAAACATAGACGAACAAGTTCGAGCATACAACACAAGTCAATTATCCAATCCCAATAACTCTTCATAACAAGGGACGGGTCATCGACAAGCACACGTATTTCAATCAAAACCTATAGACTATTCAATTACGAAATCATCTACCTCATGCGAGCCTAGGTCTACGACTTCTCCCTTTCGGTTCTAAAAGTCGCTAGAAGAAAATTAATCAACTAACCATATAGAATCATCATGTCCTAACTCGACAAATTAACATTCAATTGTTTCTAATTGCAATATTGAAGTGTCACTCTTCGATTATATCAATAAATCGAATAAGAACTCATTAATTTTTAATCAAATTAACTCACACAAGAACGAACAAATTCAAAGCCCGACAAATACACGTTAAACAAGAACAATCATTCCTTATTCCTAGCAATCAGAATTAGCTATGTAACATGAATTCAACACATCAAGCATTCCACCCCAAATAATCATTCTCATGAATTAAACAAGATGAAAAGTACTTACAATCAATCAAATCCAAGAGTTGAATCCGAATCACAAGCTTAATTCTTAGATGTAAAGAAGAAGGAGGAGAAAAAAAATGAAAGAAAAAGATGAAAGAAGAACGAGAAGAAAAAGAGGGGAAAGAGAAAGGAGTTTTCGTGTTTTCTCGGGACCTAGGGTTTTCACCCTGTCGAGAGACCCCTGTTGTAGCAAATTATATTTTTACCGAGTACGGGATGACTCCCGACCTCAGTTCGATCTCTCGAGGAAGGCGGTTCGGAATTTAGCTTTGGTGTCGATTACACACGAAAACAAAGTAAATCCTAAACACTCTAATCAGATAGCAGATTGGGTGAATTATTAACTAAGAAATAAAATAAAACAATCATCTACCTAAAAGTATAAACGGAACAAAGATGAAGAAGCTAGGGACTCGGGGATATTTAATTCAAGTTCTAGCAAAGCCGGGCAGTCAATTGTTCGGTTCGAGATTGACACTCTCGCTTAAACATCTAGCGGTTCGCTCCCAATAACTTTTCGTAACAAGGGATTGAACATAGACGAACAAGCTCGAGCATACAACACAGGCCAATTATCCCAATCCCAATAACTTTTCGTAACAAGGGACGGGTCATCGACAAGCACGTATTTCAATCTCAACCCATAGATTATTCAGCTACGAAATCATCTATCTCATGCGAGCCTAGGTCTACGACTTCTCCCCTTTCGGTTCTAAAAGTCGCTAATTCAATTAGAAGGTGTTTAATCGACTAATCATATGGAATCAACAAATCCTAACTCGACATATCAATATTCAATCGTTACCAATTGCAAGATCGAAGTGTCACCCTTCGATTATATCAAACTATCAAGCACAAATTCATCAATTCCTAATCAATTCAACTCACATAAGCATGAACAATCTTGAGCCCAACAAATGCACGTTAAACAAGAATAATCATCCCCTATCCCTAGCAATCAGACTTAGCTACGAATATCAAATTCAACAATCATAATCATTCCTCTCAGATAACCATTATTCTTGAATCAAATAAGAGAAGTGAGTACTTACAATCAATCCAAGTTCCAAAGTTGAATTTGAAATACAAGCTTAATCCTTAGATGTAGAGAAGAAGAAGAAAAATGGAAAATAAAGGTGTAAAGAAAAGGAAAAACGAAGAAGAAGAAGCAGAGAAAGGAGTTCTGTCGTGAAGTTATCGGGCCTAGGGTTTTTACTCCCCAGGAGGGAGATAGTTTTTTTGTTGGTCCCGTACACATATTTATAGGCAATCACGAGTCACGGGCGTGGAAGGCTAGCATGGCGTGAAGGATCCATATGGCGCGGCGTGGAGGGGCTGCCGCGGCGCGAGGAGAGCAGGCGTCGCGGCGCGGTGGAGTGCAACGGCGCGGAGGAATGTTCTGGAAAGTCTCTGTCCAGGCGTGGGGCTGTTTCGCGCCACGGAGAGGGTCAGTGTGGGCTCGTTTGGGCTCGTCCGAACTCGGAATTGGGTTCTGTTTTTTTCTACGCGTAGCTATTTAACCCCTCTATTCAATGGTGCTTTCATGAACAGATTTTGCCAATAGTACAATCCTCTAGAGTTTTCCAACCTTCAAACGGTCGGCAGCTTGCTGGACTTTACGTTTCGGCCCCGTTCGGATTCGTCTGAACTCGGAATTGAGTTCCGCTTTTTTCTACTTGTAGCCAACGAACCCATCTATCTAACCATGATTTTCCAGCCCATTTTCAATCTAAACTTATTCCTCACGGGCTTCTGACCTGCACACCAAAAACAAGAAAAACTAGAAAAACATACGGAAAACACAAGAAAACCAAGATAGAGGAAAACACGCAATAAACTACAAAACGAGATAAAAACTAACTAAAAAAACTAATATGGGGGAAAAAGAAAGGAAAAATAACAAGGAAAAAATGCAACAAAAATGGGACAAACAACCCCTCTTTACGAGTTCTGCACGCATATATATATATGTTCTAGGGTTCCACGGCGTGTGAGATTGGCGCGGCGTGGAGCTGCCAGGTTGCCGCGCCGCGAGGAATTGCAGCGGTGTGATGGGAGCCCTTGCCGCGTCGTGGAGGTAGTGGCGCTCCGTGGTGGAAGCAAACTGTCGTGGCGTGGGTGGTGCCGCGGCGCGTCGAGTGAATCAGGGTCTCAGTCGGTGTCGTGGTGCTTGTCGCGGCGCGGCGTGCGCGTGGCGCTGGCCTGATCGCTAGCTTTCGTGCACAACATCACCTCTCGGGCTTGTTTGAGCTCGTCCGATATTGGAATTTGATTCCGCTTTGTCCTGTGTGTTGTCAACGAAACGCTCTATTTAATTATGATCACTCGGTCCACTTATCGTGAAAAATAAATCCTCCCGAAATTTTCGACCTGTACACCAAAGACGAAGAAAAACCAGAAAAATACACGAGAAACAAAAAGAAAACCGAAACAGAGCAAAACACACATTAAACTATAAAAACGAATAAAACTAATAAAAAGACCTAAAACGGGGGAAAAATAATGATAAAATAATAAAGAAAAACACAACAAAAATGGGACAAACATACTCCCTCCTATCTTTATTATTTGTCAGACTTAATTAATTATTGATTAAATAAATGTCGTTTTGGCTATTTTGTTCATATTTTTTCATTTTTAACCCTCCATCGAATACGCAGTGTCTCTTCATATCTCATCTCCATCTTTTCTCATAACCTCCATTAAATAGAGTTAATATTGATAAGAAAAAAAAAATTATTTAGCATGTTGCTTCTCAAAACGACAAATAATAAAAATGAGAGGGAGCTAGTAACTATTATTCCTTGTACAAATCTGCCATTTCTTCCTCTTTAGAGAGTTAATTATGAGGATCACGAGGCGCAAAAAACATAAAATTTATGTGATTTTGTGTTAGTTTAAATTTTGTTGAACTCATGTGGTCATTTGCTGTGTTGAACCATTGTTGTCACTCCCACTGACGCCTGGTAATACTTTTTTATCAAAAATATGTATGTATGAAGGTTACGATTTTAAAGAACTGAAACTCAGTTTTGGTGGTTAAATTCGGACCACATTAATATATAAACTAAGCACTCAAGCTATATATAATTAGGAGTATTGATTAAGGATTTATCCCTCATTAATCCCTGTCCAACTGAGACGAGCAGAGCAGCTCAATGATTTAACTTTGCATGTCTACCATTCCCCCTGCCCTAATATAATTTTGCATCTGAGTTATAGTAACAACAATTAATTAGTAGTTTCAAATGAAAAAGAGGTTAAGAAGTAATCAAAACATGTTAGCACATGAATATGATGGATGATAGGGAATGAATATGATGATCCCATGTTAGCACATGACCTTGCCACTACAGGTCTTTCAATGCCAGGACACACTTCATTCTAATAAAGGATTGATGTATTCAGCCCTCAAAAAACATCCCCCACAAAATAAATGAATAACAAATTATGGTATTTAGTATCTACCATATCATATGAAATCTTTAAACGTTGGAATACGTATATAATT